AGAGAGAGAGAGAAGGTGATTTGTATTTTCTCAAAAAAGAAGATAATGTTTTATTGATTAAAAATCAAAAAACTAATTTCTGCAGCAGAAGAAGAACTAAAAGACATGGGAGATGTCAATGTAGCATACAAGAGATCCAAGGACCAAAAAAGGTCCATAGTTGGAGCATCAAATTTAACTAGTTTCAAGATGGGAAAGTAAACCATAATCCAAAGGAGAATGGCATATGGTACTGCAGAAAAGCATTTGATTATACTTCCCGATGCTTGTACATTGGTGACTGTTCTGATGGGCCCAAGAGTTCAATCTCCACCATAAGTCATTGACAATATGTGATCATGTGCATTCAAGAACCATATAACGTACTCTATTGCATTATGGTATATTCTTTTGAGATTCACTCAATGATCAAGTGTCTAAAATGAAAAAAATACTACATTAGCAAGCATCTTATCAAAAAGCATATACAACCAAAATTACCTATACCAATACAATCTCAATGAACAAATATTTACGACATAATTACGTACACCAGTCATACAATGGTGACAACTGCGCAATAAACAAAAGAGGCAAGCCAAATATGCAAACACATGCATACAAACAGAGAGCACAAGTTATCATTTGAGAGAACATAGATCCTTAAAAGAGGTATATAGATTTTGCCATCATTTCCAAGTACTAAGATATGTGCAATACCCCCTGCAGGCTGAGGAATGATGCTGACATCTTCCATTATTCCCATTGCCAGAACAGTCTCTACGTCCCTTTTAACTTGCTGCAAGCTGTAGACCTACACATGAAAGTTAGAAATATTGATTTCTCTTACAGAGTAGAAGACTGAAACTGGTTATAACCGACAGAAGATCAACCATATCAAAGAGATATGCATGTATGTTTTCATATTTTTCATCAAGAACAAGACTAATCATGGCTGTTAGCAAAAAGAAGATCACGGTTTCAAAGAGAAACAAATTCAGTTTTTGAGTATAGAAAATCAACATCTTTCACCTAGTAACAGACTAGCAGATATATTTCACATATAACACGAGTTTCAGAAAAAGAAAACGTACAGAAATTTATATCACTGTATAGATTCCTAGTAACTAAAGATGGAAAATCATTTCAGTTTTCAGTGTGATCCACACTTTTATGGTCCAGACCAACAGATGCCAAGCAATGGAGCATCGTATATGTAAACGAGGAACATAAATTAAAAAAAATGTGATTTCTTTAATATTAGAGAAAAAATAAAAATAAAGGTGATTTCTTTGGTATATTATTAAATGGGATTGTCTACAAAGAGACCATTTATCTCTTATACATGGAGGTCACAATCATTCCCACTCATTAGATGTCAAATTCGATTGCTTAGGGTGAGTCAGAAAGTCCGAGAATTTTTGTTTTTTAGAACTTTGTGTCTATTCAATGACACTCTTACAACCACCCATTTTGAAATTTAGGGGACAAGAATGATTGTGACCTCCATGTACAAAAAATAAACGGTCTCTTTGTAGACAATCCCTTGTAGTTTCCAAGCTATAGTTATCGGAATCTCTTAGCCTAGGTAGTGATTCTGCATTGGAATCCTGATTCAGTAATTCTGACAAGGAATCTTCATGGAACCTATTTCCTTCAAGTCAGGAATCCTTATTTAGGAATCTCGATTCCCTATTTTAAGAATCTCGATTCCAACTATTTCCAAATCTTGATACCAACATTTATGGAATCTCAATACCAACTTTTTAGAATATCGATTCCAACACTTGTTGAATCTTGATTCCACATTTGTTGATTCCAGATTCCATATATAATGAATCTCGATTTGATTTTTTTTTTAAAAAAATCCAGAATCCATAGCATCAAGTACCTTGGTTAGTAGGTGTAGGAAACTAAGATTCAATCAACATGGAATCTTGCTTCTACCACCATATAGATCTAGAGCCGAATTTTTCACAAAAGTGTGATTCATTGAACAAGGGATCTCACCTCAAATATTTATGTATTCTGATTATAGTTATATGGAAACCCAATTGGAGAACATTGTTTCCCATGGTTTATAGGTGCTACAAATAATAATCCAATAAACGCAATGCTGAAGTATTTGTAACACAAATCAACTTTCAAATACAAATGTTTAGAGTTAAGAAGTACCCAACATCTATGATTTTAATGTCTTTTGTAGGTAACAAAGGCAAGTATAACTATAGTGTTGGAGCATTAATGAGAGTACTAATGGTGATACAACTACAGCGTTGGAGCATTAATGGGAGTACTAAGAGTGCTAGGACTGGCTATAATAATGTTTCTAATAGTGCTAGGACTGGCTCGGATCATGTTTGTAACAGTGCTAGGATTGGCTACCTTTTTCTAAAATGTTATTGGTAAAGAGTTTTACATTCAAATAGGCTACAACACAAACAACACCATGGCACAAAGTCCTATTTTGAACTACAATAATGAAATCAAAATCACATTTCAAAAATACATAAGATAATATTTGTATCTTTTGTAGACAATTTCCCTGGTGGATTACGAGTATTTATTAATTGACCTTACTTCTGCTATTGTGTCTGAGGCTCCATAGTCAATAATCAATCAATATATTAACTTTATATCTACAGAGCCCTTCTTCAGGTCTTAGAGACCTCTGATCTCGATTGCTTGTTGAGGTTCTAAGTTGTCAAGGCACGAGATGTTATGGATGTAGGAATCTTGATTCTAAAGGGGCTTTTCGCATAAAAATAAAAGGGATTGAAACTCTTCCTATAAAGTTACAAATCTCGATTCCCATGTGGATCAAAACTCGATTCCAAACTAGTATGAATCTTGATTCCACATACATAAAAAACTCGATTCCAAAGATGTTGGAATAGCGATTCCATATATGAAGGAATCTCGTTTCCATATGGGTCAGTTCTAAATAGGTCAAATCTTGTTTCGATGTATGTAGGGGTGTCGGCTCTATTTGGGTCAAAACTAGATTCTATAAGTAGGTATCGCGTTTCCCGCAATTCCCCTTGTATGGACGTCAATTCTGATTCCTAAAACGATAGGGAATCTCAGGCGTTTAGAACAACTATGTTCCAACTTTAGCACCTACCAAAACTGCCAAACTGAAGATTGAATTTGATATAATCATAGTTAAAACAAATCCATACTCATATGGCAAAGCTTGATTTTCCTCTTGAGAAAACATCTAATCTTAAATAGTCATGATCTTGGAGACAAACTATTAAAGGTTTAACCTTTTCAAGGATGCAAGGTGCATAGAGATATGAACATGACAATAATTTTGACTCAAATAAATGCCTTTTGAATTGGCCTTAGCTTGAGAGGCCATTTGAACAATGGATCCCCAACGCAACAAGAATCCACAAAATGTCGAGGGAAAACAAAACATAAAATACCAGGAGCTGCAAAACCTTTTGGCTTTATAGATTATTAAGATGAGAAACTTGAATATTGGGAATACTTGGATCCCAGTACTTGAAAATAACTATTTTACCCACTGGTCATTTCACCATTTTGCACTTAATTTTAAGGTATTTTGAAAACCAGACCAGGGCATTAAGAAATTGATGGGTCTCGATATCGTGAAGTTTTCATACAGTTGTGACAAATTTTAGGATCTCCAACATATCCCTAGCAGCTCAACATATACCCAGCCCAGCCACCACAAATTTAAGAAATAGATTTCCCCAGTTGTTATGGGGCAAGCGGCAACTGTAGATCAAGAGGAGCAAAATTACCCATAATAATCTGTATTGTTAGATACCCACAACCTTATCCAAAATCCACTATCCAAAAACAACTGCTCTAGTTATTAGTTTTTCTTGATGGGTAACGAGATTTTATTAGGGTAAAATATATAATACAAGTTTATGCTCCTAAATAGGGCTATAAATACCAAGGTTGTTAATTACAGAATGCAGACCAGAGGCACTAGGGGATCCGATGCTCTATACAACTCGATGAGCCACTAGGCAGGTGCAATGGGCCAATGTTTTAAAATGCAGGATGCCGCCGTATGCGTTTAGGGGACCGATGCGGCTTGATGAGGTCTGGATCCAGGTGCATCGCCGCGATGCGGTCAATAAATGTAAAAAAATTCTACAATCTAAAAAAAATAGGTTAATGCATAGAAAAAAATATGGAGATCATATATGTGATAGTAGGTATTTAGTTTATTCAATAATTTTAAAAGTATCAGTTGTCAAATATTATGTATCAACTATATCATAGAAACTAAAAACTTGAAACTAGCTTCATAACATATTCAACAATCAACAACCATAAGCACAAATCTACGACCACAAACAATCAACAACCCTTGAAACCCTCGATTTGTTGTGACAAGTTCGCCTAAACTTCCTCAACTTCTTCAAATCAACACCCAAAAGATACAAATCAACAACTAAGCATCAACCAATACACAAATTGAAGAACTTTACAAAATAAAATTTCTGCCAAAAAAAATTTTTGATTCAATTGCTCCAATTAAAAGCCACGGATGTGGCTGAAAAATGATGTTTGGGCCCCAAACCTTTTCCCCCCAGTTTTGGAGGTCAAAAAGACCTTAATACCCCTGCTCGAGGGGTTCATTTTCCAAAAAAATGGCGAACCGTGTATGCAGTATGATGCACCCTATGAGGGATGCGACTATGATGTGGATTGATGCAACGCATATGCGGGCGCAACTCTCCAAACCGCATATACGGCCATCATCAAAGCATTAGGCAGTGAATAACGCCTGATGCGGCCACATTTTAAAACACTGAAGTCGGCAATAATTTTATAAATATATATAGGGAAAAGATCTTGTTAGCCCATGGGCTGATGGAATAATGTACGCCTAATGGCCTAGATTGAAACTTGGCCAATCTAATAATCATGACTGTGTTTCGTACTTTAATTTTAATATTTTTCCTACAAATCTAAATGACATGAAATTTGAAACATCCACTCTTCTCATTAAGGCGCACCTAATAAAAATATTAAAAAAATAATTCAAAAAAACTAAATTGACGAAAATACCCCCAAAAGTTTCTGTGGTATTTTGGTCTATTTATTGGTTATGAATTATTTTTTTATATCTTTATTAGATTTGCCTACTTTTTAAGAATAGACGCTCCAAATTTCAAGTGATTTGGATTTTTAGAAAAATATTAAAATGCAAACTCGAAATGTAATCGTGACCATCAGATTGATCCAGATTCAATCTAGGCTGTTGGGCATTTACTATAGCTACCAGCAGCTAGTGGGTTGACATCATAGATATACCCACACACACACAAATAATCACACATAATGCAAAAATATAAAGGAATAACACAAATATGAGATTACATAATAGTTAGGCATTTTAACTTAGTACATATCTGCCTCGCGACATCGTGCCGAGACGCACACCTCAATGCCCACCACCCGTGCTGTGTGTGGGTTTGCCTATATCGATCTTCCCGGTTACCATCGAGGCGCCGTGCCTAGACGCTCATCTCGATGCCCATCCCCCAACACTGTGTAGGTGTGCCTTGCTCGGGCATCCCACCGGTCCTCGGGGCCCCATGCCTTCAACGGTGCGCGTGGTGATGCACCCCGGCACGCAACGTTGTGCATTGAGGTGGTATGGGTCGTGCTTAGGGAAAATCTATTTTAGTTTCACCCCATTAGGTGTCACTCAGGAATTTCAGGTGTTTTAAGACATCACACATAAGCGCAGCGAAGGGTACCGGGAAGCCCGAGCTAAGCACACCCACGCGGTATGGGTGGACGGCTCCGAGGTGTGCGCCT